AAGAGTGTAATGAATAAAAATAGATATATTTTTATTCATTACTCTCTTTCCTAAAAAATAATATAAAAGTATCCTATAAAAGAATATCCACCAATTTTCCTTATTTTTTTTTTTCTTTTTCAGGCCTGGATATCACAATTTTCAAATTCCCTGATATTTCCAGGTTTTCCATAACTGTGGGATTTCTGGACATTTGTGTTTAAAATTAAGTGATTTGATATTAATGTCACTTCAGCAGAAAATGAAACAGACCATAAACATTAATCATTTTACAGTTTATTTAATGTCTTGTGTATGATGCATATATATCTTGCCTAATATATCTGGCTAAATTAATACTTTTTCATATTTAAGTATAAAAAAATGTACTAACTTCTCATTTACTGATCTGTTGTATAACAGCAGTGTGAGTGTGTCTGTAGTGCTGGATATCAGTCATGTGATCAGCTGCGGCCCAATCACAGCCGTACTGATATTCAGAATAACAGCACTCTTACTCGTGTGTTATGGATTAAATATTGGAAACATGATGAAAGCAGGAAGATCCAGATCTACAGATTACAGACTATCGAACGGTAAGATCTTTAGAGGTTCAGACCAACACCAGAAGAATGGCAAGACAGTGTCAGTGAAGGTGGTTGTGAATGTGTGTAGATGTGTGTTAGTTACAGGATCAGAGAATGACACTGTTCCTCCCAGATACACTAGATACACTCTCACTTGCTCAAGATCCTGTTCAACAGGAAAACCAGATGGTTCATATAATACACACCAGAGGAGTCAGAACTGCAGTGGCTTTGGCTTCAGAAGCAGAGACACCAGAGACACCAGCAGATCACTCACCTTTCCATTGAGACTGGAAACTTCTGCAGAACAAACACACAATTTATCATCAACAACTCAATCAACCAATCAATCAATGCATGATCTGAAATCAGACCTTCAGAAAGCAGACATCATTGTCTTTCATCATCTTCTCTGTGTTTTTAATTGTGTGTGAAAGAACTGAGATGTGTCTGTTGATCTCCTCCAGCTTCTCCTTCATCATCCGCTTCTTCTCCTCCTCTTCCTCCCTCAGTGCAGTAATTGTAGCTTCTTCTTCATCTCTGAGAAACCGATGAAGCTTCTCAAACTGCTGTTTAATCTGACGCTCTGTGTGCTCAGCTTGAGACTGAAATCAAACCACATTCACTTCAGTCATCTCAATCACCACACTACGGATGTCTTTACAAACCATGAAATAATTTATGATTTAGCTTTTCTTGGTTCTTGATTCCCATCCTTTTATTGTGGTCATAAGCCTGTGTCCAATATCTATTATGATAAACTGTGTTGAGATTGCTGAGTATTTGACTCTTGATTCTGTTTCCTCACCTTGATGTGTTGAACTGTTTTCATACACTCTCTTTTCATTTTCTCTCCATGTGTCAGTTTCTCTTGTAAGGTCTTCAGTGCTGTATTGAGCTCCTCCTACAATTTGACAAAGTGAAAATCTCTAAAGCACTGGTTACTGGGAGATTTGAACAAGTGATTTTCAGGCAAATCAACATATGTTTTAATTTAGTATGTTTACATTTTAATGCTATAGGTTATTAAAAAGTATTGATTTGTATTTTGAATTAATATTCATATGAACGTTTTATTATTATTTTTATGTAGACAAAAATGTCTAACCTTTTTTTTTTCTCCATTAGCCATTAAACCAGGTTTTAATGATTTTGAAATTGTGTTCATGTATTAAGGACAAGCTTGTGAAAAAAGCAAAGGAAAACAAGAGCATAATTGCAATTCAGAGGTAATGCATTACACAAGATTGATTGATTATTTATTTTGTTTTTAATATTGTTTTTGTATATTTTGGTGTTTTTATGTGTGAAATAAATGTTGAAGTTTGTTAATGAACCTTTGTCCAGACACGTCATGTTATGAAGCTATAAAAAAATTTCAGCTAATAGTGATAAGGAAAGCCATTTTTGGATCTTGTAATTTGCATGATATTTGTTATTCAGTGGTGCATTTTTTTCCCACATAATTGCTATTTCCAAGTTTATTGCAAATGTTGTACTTGGATATAAAACAGAAAAAAATCCAAACAAATTTAAACAACGCTAAACAAAAAACATACAAACACAAAAGCCATCAAAATCATTATACTATCCTACCTTGTAAGAAGAAACTACTTCATTAATGGGTCTGAATGTGTGATTGATGTATTTCTGTGAATCTCTGCACACTAAACACACAGGCTGTTTGTCCTCCAGACAGCAGAGTTTGAGTTTCTCACTGTGTAAACTGCAGATCTCCTCAGACCCTGATGAACGCCTCTCATTTCTCTGCCTCCGCAACGACTCACAAAGGTTTTTTAATGCAAGATTATAAGGAGGATCATCTCTCGATGATCTTCTCCTGCAGAGAGGGCACTCCTGAGTTTCTTTGATTCTCCAGAACTGTTGAAGACACTCTTTACAGATGATATTTGTTATTCAGTGGTGCATTTTTTTCCCACATAATTGCTATTTCCAAGTTTATTGCAAATGTTGTACTTGGATATAAAACAGAAAAAAATCCAAACAAATTTAAACAACGCTAAACAAAAAACATACAAACACAAAAGCCATCAAAATCATTATACTATCCTACCTTGTAAGAAGAAACTACTTCATTAATGGGTCTGAATGTGTGATTGATGTATTTCTGTGAATCTCTGCACACTAAACACACAGGCTGTTTGTCCTCCAGACAGAAGAGTTTGAGTTTCTCACTGTGTAAACTGCAGATCTCCTCAGACCCTGATGAACGCCTCTCATTTCTCTGCCTCCGCAACGACTCACAAAGGTTTTTTAATGCAAGATTATAAGGAGGATCATCTCTCGATGATCTTCTCCTGCAGAGAGGGCACTCCTGAGTTTCTTTGGTTCTCCAGAACTGTTGAAGACACTCTTTACAGAAACTGTGACTACATGATAAAACAACAGGATCCTTGAAGATTTCACAGCACACGGGACAAGAAAGTTCTTCTGCAGATACATTTAATGAAGCCATTTTCACTGTAGTCAAGAGATCCCCTTATTTAAACCTCTTTTCAAAAATAATGAAACAGTCTCTTCCTGGTAAGTGTTGTAAGAGGGTGGAGTTTCTGCATTTTTATTATCTTACCTGTTTGTATCTTATGCTCTTTGACCCTTTGCTGCATGATTTGACTCTGATCTCTGGATTGTGATTTAGAATATGAATGGATGGAAAGAGTCAGTTCTGGTGCTTCAGTTCTGTGTGAATAGTCCCTATGTAAAGTCAATGACAGAATTGTAGAGTTGGCCTGTTCACACCGTCAGTAACATGCAGTGACAAAGTGACACGATCCTATTCATTTCAATGGAGAACTGTTTACTTGTGGTACAGTGACCGTTGGCAACAGAATGTAGGCGTTGTTCATCTGGTTAATGATTTAATGTGCTTAAAATGCTGCTCTAGTTTATATAAAAAGCTCTCCAACAGCAGAATGTTACTTCTTACAATGAGAAAACTAGTCGAATTATAATGACTTCAATCCTAATCTTATTGCTAACAACAACAAGACTATATATATAATTTGTGACTGAATTGTCTAAAGAATGCTTTGTTGCTGGTGGTGTGAACGGGCTTTAGAGATTTAGATTCATAGATATAACCATATATACTATATATAAAGTTAGGGTCATATATATTTGGACACAGGCACCGGAGCTCTCCATACAAGTGAAACAGACAATTGTTAGGCTTCAAAAAAAAAACAAATCCATCAGACAGATAGCAGGAACATTAGGAGTGGCCAACTCAACAGTTTTTTTGGTACATTCTGAGAAAAAAAGAATGCACTGGTGAGCTCAGCAACATAAAAAGGCCTGGACATCCACGATAAACAACAGTGGTGGATACTCGGAGAATCCTCTCCATGGTAAAGAAAAACCCTTTCACAACATCCAGCCAAGGGAGGACAACAGTGGTGGATGATCGGAGGATCCTCTCCATGGTAAAGAAAAACCCTTTCACAACAACCAGCCAAGAGAAGAACACTCTCCAGGAGGTAGACGTGTCACTGTCAAAGTCTACAATCAAGAGAAGACTTCACGAGAGCAAATACAGAGGATTCACCACAAGCTGCAAACAAGGCCAGGTTAGACTTTGCCAAAAAAACATCTAAAAAAAAAGCCAGACCACTTCTGGAAAAGCATTCTTTAGATGGCTGAAATTAAGATCAATCTGTGCCAGAATGACGGAATAGATGATGACCCAAAGCATACAGCAAGAGCAAGGAAAGTTCTTTTTAGGTTATTAAAAAAAGAACCTACAGGGAATTTTCCTAGAACATTCTTATTTGGTTCCCAAAAAATTTACCAAATGGGAACCATATGGGAACGTTCTGTTTGTTGGGTAATTGGTAGCCTTCTATTGGTGGCTTGTTAAAACCACTAAATTACACACTAAAAGGACCAATTTTTTATGGTTTTAATGCTTAAAAGTTGATTGTTTGTAATGGTATTTGTAGTGGAAACCATTAGAATTTCTGTGATGGATTCTATTTTTTGTTTTGTTTTTTCAGCAGGGTGGGTCGATCTGGATTCAGGTTAGGAGCAGTACTACAGTCAATCAGTAATGGAAAGTCGTTCAGTCAACATTTCTTAGGATTGTCTGTCTGCTGCATGGTGAATCCAAGAGACTGTATTTCCCAGAAGACCGTCAGATGCTCTGAGACCAGTGTGGCTTCATTCATTTTGTATGTCTGCGTCAGAAACACTGGACCTGCACTGACCATCCAGAGGTGCTCTCAATGGCTACAAATGCATCAGTGTTCATTTTTGAGTCAGCTGTACATTTTAATCTCTAGATGTCAGTAAAGTCGCACTGAAGACTCCACTGCTCACAGGAGTCATGCTACTGATTTTAATTAAGCATTCATTTTAAGTGTGCATGCAGTTTAATAATTTTGTTTAGTTTAATTTGGGAATATATCATTCGGGGATAAAATATCTTACTGGGATTTCACTTTTTCGTGACTGAAAACAGTCATATTTGTGTATTATATTATAGAGAAGAGTGTAATGAATACAATATATATAAATAAATACATGACCTTTAAGTTTTTATTGATTTCCATGACTTTTCCAGATTTGCATATCACAGTTTTAAAATTCTCTGATATTTCCAGTTTTTCCTTGAGTGTGGGATTCCTGAAAATATCTGGATATATTCTGACTGAAATAAAGTGACTTGATATTAACTCCAAATTATCAAATAATATGGAAAAAATCTTTAAAACACTTCATCAATACTTTTACAGTATGTTTAATAAATTAATCATTTTTATTTTTAAGGTTATTAAGTTAACTAACTTCTTTATGGATCTGTTGTATAACATCAGTATGTTGGTGTGTAAGATGTGTGTGTGTGTGTGTGTGTGTGTGTGTGTGTGTGTGTCTGTAGTGCTGGATATCAGTCATGTGATCAGCTGCAGCTCAATCACAGCTGCACTGATATTCAAATCAACAGCACTCTTACTCATGTGATATGGATTAAATATTGAAACATGATGAAAGCAGGAAGATCTAGATCTACAGCTGTAACGTTTACTGACTATTGAACGGTAAGATCCTCAGAGCAGAGACACCAGAGACACCAGCAGATCACTCACCTTTCCATTGAGACTGGAAACTTCTGCAGAACAAACACACAATTTATCATCAACAACTCAATCAATCAATCAATAAATCAATCCATGATCTGAAATCAGACCTTCAGAAAGCAGATGTCATTGTCTTTCATCATCTCCTCCGTGTCTTTGATTGTGTGTGAAAGAGCTGAGATGTGTCTGTTGATCTCCTCCAGCTTCTCCTTCATCATCTTCTTCTTCTGCTCCTCTTCCTCCCTCAGTGCAGTGATTGTAGCTTCTTCTTCATCTCTGAGAAACTGATGAAGCTTCTCAAACTGCTGTTTAATTTGGTGCTCTGTGTGATCAGCTTAATTGAGACTGAAATCAAACCACATTCACTTCAATCATCTGAATGAACAAAAATCAACACTTCACATCATTAATATCCGAGATAAACTTAGATACCGAGATGCAGAAGCATTGTAACTTCTGCTTGTAATTTTCAAAAATAATAATCAAATATAATACACTGGAACTCATGTTAAATATAAAGAACGTAAAGAAGATAGTCTTGATTCTGTTTCCTCACCTTGATGTGTTGAACTGTTTCCTCAAACACGCCTTTTATGTTTTCACTTTGTTGAAGTTTGTCCTGTAAGGTCTTGACTGCTGTATTGAGCGCTTTCTAGAATTTAATAAAAAAATAAATAAAAAATAAAAAAAGAATAATAATGCACTAGATTACAGTGAAGAGAAGAAGAGGATAAATTGATAGCATACAGTGCTGTAAAAAAGTATTTGGCCCATCCTTATTTCTTTTGTTTTTGTGTCACATACTAAATTGATTTAGAAATTAACCCTAAAGGCAACCTGAGTAAACACAAAGTTTGTAATAAACATTCTTAGAAGCCACATATAATTCACAAAATAGCAAAAAAACATCCCAGAACGAAATGTCTTTTTTTCTGCTCTTTACCAGAAAATCCTAAAGGAGAATGTCTGATCTTAAATCCATAAGCTGAAGTTTAAACACAACTGGATTATTATGCAGCAATACACTGATTCAAAGCCCAGTAGTAAATCCACCTCCGAGTACAATTTTACATAAGCACAATTACAGTTTTGGAGTTTCCTAGTCAAACTCCTGACTTTAACCAAATTAAAATGCTGTGGCAGGACCTCAAACGTGCAGTTCATGCTCAAAAACAAGTTTGCTACTAAAGGAGATAATTAGGTTTTCACATGCGTGAGAGATGTTGGATAATTAGGCTACTTTTATGTTGTATTTAGTTTGAAGATTTAAACTATTTAAAATGAGATGTACAACAAGAAAAAAAGAAGAATGAAGTAGAGCAAAAATGGCATAGTATATACTGTGTGCATAAATGATGAATAATGATATCTGTTTATGACTACACACTGTTCTTTACATATGAAACACAATTTCTCTTACCCTACATGTTGAAACGGCTTCATTAATGGGTCTGAATGTGTGATTGATGTATTTCCGTGAATCTCTGCACACTAAACACACAGGCTGTTTGTCCTCCAGACAGAAGAGTTTGAGTTTCTCACTGTGTAAACTGCAGATCTCCTCAGACCCTGATGAACGCCTCTCATTTCTCTCCTTCAATGACTTACATAAGTTTTTTAGCACTAGATTACATGGAGGATCATCTCTCAAGGATCTTCTCCTGCAGAGAGGACACTCTTGCGTTTCCTTGGTTCTCCAGAACTGTTGAAGACACTCTTTACAGACACTGTGACTACATGATAAAAGAACAGGATCCTTGAAGATTTCACAGCACACGGGACAAGAAAGTTCTTCTGCGTATACATTTAGTGAATCCATTCTTACTGTCTGAGCAATATAAATTCAACTTTCTGAACGATGATTTTAGAAATGACTAGCCACGACAAGCATGATCGCTGATTCTTTTTGGTTTTTGTAGAGAAAAAAGTATTTCTTCTTCTGGCTTCATGGCGAGTTGCGAACCACTGTTGCCAACTAATTTTGAGGGGAAGTTGCTAAAGGAAGGTCGATTTGTTGCTACAAGTTGCTAAATGACGTTGTGATGTCATTGCGTTATGACGTCATTACGTAATCACAATGCAAAAATTGTCAAATCTCAGTAAAAAATATAATTTTATGTTCATTTAGATTTGTTCGTAAAATAATATAAATGCATAATATGTTAAAATATAAATATCTTTTTATATACAACATTGAATTATTGAACACTATTTTATAAACTATAATTTTTTTTATTAGCTAGTGAACTAGTAAAACTACACATTCTGACCAATTAGTTTTAAGCAGTGTATTAGTAGTCAGTATGCTACACTCTAAGAAAATAATTCACAGGTTTTTACCGGCATTTTAAATTACGCATTGTATTTTGTGTTTCGGGTTAAAGGGTTTACAATGGATAATGGATAACGGATAATGTCCTGGAAAATTACTAGAAGCCTACCTTTTCCATTTTTCTAGATATTTTTCTTACAGTGTACTAACTGATCAACAATCACAGGTACAACAAGGTGTATCATAAATGAACAATTATTAAATTATTATTATCAAATTGAACAATTGCAAATAGCAATAATTTAATTCACGTGATGTGTGTACTGCTAGGCATCTTTGGTTTCCTCTTTTTGTGAAATTTAGATGGAAAATGTGTGCCTTTTATTGTTCGAGTCACTTATCAAAAGTTGCTAAAAGTAGCCAAATAAAATTTAAAAATAGCTAAATTTGTTGCTAGGTGCTTTTGGAAGAAAAAGTTGCTAGGGTAGTCTGAAAAGTTGCTAAATTTAGCAACAAAATTGCTAAACTGGCAACACTGTTGCGAACCGAAATAAGAGTTGCATACCGCTGTGGAGTAACGTTATAGTATTAGGCGGAGCGTATGTGGTCTGAGTACAGGTCGGAAATTACCGCTAATTTGAGGCAAAAAAATGCCAAATGAAATTTAAATTAAAAGTGTCGTTTGCGACATTACATTTAGATCTGTTTATTTTGTAGGCTATATGTTTTACACGTTTTTACAGCGTTGCGCATTGTAACCAATCACAGACGATTGTGTTGCGCTTATGAATCCAATGGCCAATCAGAAGCGTTCAGATTAGTCATCGCTGAAACACCGGAGTCACTGCATTCGGCACATAAACAAACAAGTGCAGATATAGCCTACTTGTACAATGTAAGTAAAATATTAATTTCACAGTGTAAACAGCTTCAAAGGAGCAGAGTTTATTGAATAATCTTTGTGTATGTAATGCTTCGTCTGACGACAAATCCAACAAGTGCAATATACCAAACTGCTTCACAACAACATAAACCTGTAATTTCCATAAACATTGTCTGTTGATCTCCTCCAGCTTCTCCGTCATCATCATCTTCTTCTGCTCCTCTTCCTCCCTCAGTGCAGTGATTGTAGCTTCTTCTTCATCTCTGAGAAACTAATGAAGCTTCTCAAACTGCTGTTTAATCTGAAGCTCTGTGTGCTCAGCTCGAGACTGAAATCAAATCACATTCACTTCAATCATCTCAAAGATGCAACTTATTCTGGAGCAGCATGAAGTGAGTGTGGGTTAGTTAACTTTAACTTTCTGAAGTACTAGTACTGTAGTAGTAGATGTTCTGTCTCTGTGGGTGCAAGTATACATAAATCTCATCAGGTTCTCTTCTACATGACAGTTACATTTTAATGTGCTTTATAAGATACATTAATATGTAACATAATTTAAAATCATAACAGCACATTAATCAAATGTATTGAGTTTAAGAATGCTAGAACTAAAATGTTTCCATGATGTATGCAAAAATGTGTTTTTTTTTCCAGAATAGAATTATAGTAAATCTGAAATGCATTTTCTTTAAATTTAATTTGATAGAAAATGATGGTATAAATGTAAAATTATGTACACTATAAACATGTACATTAAAAAATTCAATCTCTGTGTTTCAGACAATAAAGAACCATGAAATTAATGATCACCTGGATGTGTTGGACTGCTTTCTCAAATTCTTTTCGTATTTTGTTTGTGTTTAAGTTTCTCCTGTAAGGTCTCCAGTGCTCTATTGAGCTCCTCCTAGAATTTAAAGAGAAAATCTGTATGACCACAACGATTTCTGGTGTATGTTCATGTATGTCAATAGTTTTCATCCTCAGATGTAAAAATCTTACCTTCTATGCTGAAACAACTTCACGGGTCTGAATGTGGGATTGATGTGTTTCAGTGAATCTCTGCACACTTAAGAAAAAGAAAGAAAGAAAGAAAGAAAGAAAGAAAACAGTCTTTTTGTCCTCCAGACAGAAGAGTTTGAGTTTCTCACTGTGTAAACTGCTGATCTCCTCAGATCCTGATGATCTCTGCTTCAAAAATGGCTTGCAGAAGTTCTTTGATGTCTACTGGCGGAAGGAGCTTTTGAGTATTTCTCCAGCAGACAGGACACTCCGGGGTTTCCTTGGTTCTCCAGAACTGCCCAATACACTGTAAACAGAAACTGTGAAGACATACTAAAACAACAGGATCCTTGAAAATGTCAAGACAGATAGGACAAGAAAAGTCTTCAGATGGTGAAGCCATTTTCACTGTTTGAGCTCTAGCGATCTTTACATTCACTTTCTAAATGATGGTTTCAAAAATGAACAACCGTGAGAATCACAAAGACCTGCTGTCTGTTCAGAAACAAACTTCTTGAAAGTAATAAGCGAATCTCTGTGTTATTTGCTGATTGTTTTTGGTGTTGTCGAGAGGGTTTTTGGAGCAATGGTCCTCTCAGTATTGTGAATGAATCTCAAAAAGCAAAGATCCAGAAATCAAAATAAGACTTAATTGAACACAACAATAAAGCCGAGATAACAGCTGCTGCATCTGAATCTGTTCTGTCCAGCCATCAGCTGTTATACCTTATTCTTATCAGCCCTTGAACAATGGTACCACAGTTCTGTTGATTTCTCTCCTCTGGTTTGCTACAATTCATTTTTTCTTCCCAGGGCATATTTTTTAACTCTGGAATTCTGCTAGTTTGAACCATTTTTATAATAACCTTTATCTCATCCCTCCCACTGGATGCAGGTGTCCTTCTTGGAAGTCACCCAAAGTTGACTGGTTCACCCAAGTTCATCTGCATCTTTGTACTTGGAAAGCACCTAGGACTCACAATCTGTGTTAAGTCAACCAATATAAAAAAAACAATCATATTGATCAGTTTGTTTATTTATTATAGCCATAAATCATAATTTTGAATAAAACAAGTTGTCGTTTTATCCTCTTTGACCTTTCTGGCAGTTGTCATACAACTTTAAGGTGCATTACTGCCACCTGCTGGGTAGGAGTGTGGGTCAAGACTGTACAAGCTTCAGCAAACTTCCTATTGAGTTCCAAGATTCTTCCAACCCCGTCATACATATATATACACACACAAACACACGTACGTATATACATAAACATACACACATTTTTATACATACACACACACATTATATTAAAAAAAAAAAAAAAGCATTCATCACATCAATTTATGTTAAACGTTCAACTTAAGCTTTTAGTTATTTTTTGATGAGTGGAGTTTCTGATCACGCGAGCGTTAAAATGGGTCAAATAATAATAAATCTCTTCAGGATAAATTCTAAAATGCATTCAAAATGAACTTGCATTAAAACTCTTCAATAAGATGCATTAAAATCTCAGATCAAACAAAACAACAATGACAGACAAAAAAATATTGATAAACTGACTCGAGACACTTTCTTTGTAAACGTTTTATTGCTCTTTATTTCTTGGCGTGTTTGAAGGTCACAGAGATTCTCCAGGGTCTGTCGTTCTCACATCTTTGTCAAAATGATATCTTCACGTGCTGAAGTCACCGTGATAAACATCCGATTGTCGGTGTTTGGAGACGCAAGCAACACTTACAGAGACGGCAAACCAGTTTCTGCATCATCCTGTAAGTCAACAGAAATAAATGCATGAAATGGCCTGCAGTGAGCACATGCCAACATTACTCATCTGAAATCTAGAAGCAGCTCGATCGAAACAAACTCTAGAATGAATCTGTAGCAGGATCTGAAGCGTCTCAGCTCTCATGAGGGCAGAGAGAAGAGAACAGAGACCCTGCTGTAACTTACTGTAGCACACATCCTACACCCTACAATGCACGACAAGCAACGCAGGGCTCTAGTTGTGTGCACATTCAAAACTAATCAGGGTTTCAAAGGGCTAACTGATGCTAAATCACACCAGTATGCAGATATTATGTCTATTAACATTCACAGGGAGATTTTCAAAAGTACAAAATTTCTTTACAACGTACCAGGCTTTCATTACAAATGCATTGTATTATTAGTCATTTTCTTACACATTAAATTGCATGCGTTTAACCGACTCTGCTATGTCCTCGTGGTAAACACGTGGTGACTGCGCTCTTGTCGCATCAAACCAAACATTTCTCTAACTATGCACTGTTTCAAGATCTTACAATATGTTTCCATGATAAACAACATTATGAAAATAATCTGAATACCTTCAATTAATTTTATTCGAGAAGCTCCAACGCTGCACATGCTTTCCGCCGCGTCTCTGTGTGACGAATGTCGGTCGGAGCGGACACCGGAAACACGTACGTATAAACGCCTGGCTCATTAATATTCATTACGCAACGTGACGTTCACCCAGTAGGACTTAGTTGGCGAATTCAATTCTATCTATCTATCTATCTATCTATCTATCTATCTATCTATCTATCTATCTATCTATCTATCTATCTATGCTGGAGCGTGATCATCAGTAGCTCCCGTGCTGCTGTCAAGCTAAATAATTAGACATCCTTAAAATGTCTAATGCCTTACATCCTCCATGTACATCTGTGCTTAAACTTTTCACTAAAATGTTTAATATTTTAAATTAGGTTCTAGAATGCATTTAGAATTTGTATTATTTTAGAAAAAATACAAACCAGAAAATACATTCCTGTAAAAAAGTTATGAACATTCCATTAACGTTATTAGAATGTTTGTTCAAAGTTATATGGTCTTTCATAAAGTTCTCAAAACTTCAGCACAAAAGCATGTACATATCACTCGTGGAACATTTCCCCTTTGTTCCCATAATGTTTGAAAAATGCAAAATTGAATGTTCCCTTAATGTTTGCATTACGGGAAAACATTTTAAACCATTTGAAAACTGGACATTTTGAACGTTTACATGACATTCAGAAATAACTTCATGGGAACGTTAGCAAATCTTCAAATATTTCAAAACTTTTTACTTTATTATTATTTTTTAAATCCGGGATAGACTTCCATAGACTCTTACCATATTATAATTTTACATTTGTTTTTCCTCAGTCTTGACTATATGGTTACTTTCGTCTGTGTATTTGTTTACAATAAAAGCACCAAACAATCAAACATTGAAAAATAAAGAAAGTGAGGAATCTGTGCTGAAAATCAACCAATAAAACAGCATTTTTCCTCATTTGAACACAATCTCCTTATGAATGTTTTCAACATAAAATGTAACATTATATTGCCTTTCTATTGTAATAAAGCTGCATGATAAGTTGTATGTGCAATTTCCATATGTATACAGCATCATACATGTTGTGTGCTTGCAAACACTTCAGGTATGTTTTGAAAGGGCCGCTAGGGGACTTTTATTTTGACAGCGCGCTTGTAGTCAGAGCGTCTGGTGTTTGTGTTGTTTTCTGCTCGTCCTCAGACTGCAGCGATGCGCTTCATCCGAGTCTGTTTTTATCTCCTAAACCCATCGATCACAATATTATCGTGATTTATCCATCAATATCTGCTTTTGCTCATCGATGGTCGTAAAATGGCGAGCTCTTTCTCCAGACCTTCAGCTCAAGGAGGCACAGGTTTGATATTATGTTATTATTATTCTGCGTTATTTTGTTTATATCTCACTGAAATGACTGCAACTTTGACGACAGATGTGTGTCTTTGTAGATATCAATGTGTGTGAGGTTACATGATCAGGTCTATCGTCAGGATTGAGCAGCAGGCTGTCAAACCATTGAACAAACCTATTCAGTGTCACATGGTTATAATAAAAATGCTTAATAATAAGATATTTAATAATGCTAGACAATAAATATCCATGTAAATCCCTTCATTAAAAATATATATTTCATTAATCTACATTTAGCACTTATCCTATAAATATTTTTTTAATTATATCTCCATGGTAGCAATAGTTTCGTCAAAATAGCAAATACCATAGTAAAACTACATAATAGTAGCTATGTTAACGGGGCAAAAGTAAAGGTCACCATTGTAATTTTTAAAGTTGTAGCTTTATAATTTTGATGGGATTCAAACCTCCATTTTTATGCTACCGGCCCAGATATTTAACCACTAATTCATCCCCCTCATTCATTCATGTGTCTCTTCAGAGACGGAGCGTCTGCTGGCCCCTGTGATGGGATACGGCTCCGGCGATCTGAACAGTGGGTGTCACGGCAGCCCTCCCGCCCTGGACGTGAGCACGCCGGGGTCACGGCCGCGGGCCGAGGAAGCGGAGGAGGCCCTGAGGAGGAAGCTGAAGTACTTCTTCATGAGCCCGTGTGATAAATACCACGCCAAAGGCCGCAAACCCTTCAAACTGGCCCTTCAGCTGCTCAAGATTATCATAGTCACTGTACAGGTATAAAACCACTGAGATCAGCCTCCCTCCCACACCAGCATCAACCCTGATATTTATCACATTATTCCTCTTTTAGCACTCATCCAAAGTGACATATGTCACTCGTTATTACTTGATTGCTTTCAAACAGTGAAAGAGGCTTTCAGAGTCATTTGCTGAGATTTGTAACACTATGCTACTGTTTTACTGTAGTTAAATTATTATAGTTGCAGCATCATGTAACTGAAAACTTGCTAGTACAAGATGACTGCAGGATCAGTCAGTGTAATATATAAAAACTGCTGTCTGCACCTTTAAATGCACATATATTTTTAATATATTTAGCTTCTGCATGCATTAATGGCTCTGTCTGTCTCTGTCTGTGTCAGCTGGTGCTGTTCGGTCTCAGTAATCAGATGGTAGTGGCGTTTAAGGAGGAGAACACAGACTCCTTCAGGCATCTGTTCCTCAGAGACTATGTGGATGATTCGGAGGAGCCGCTGTGTGTCCACACGCAGAGAGACGTCTATGATCACATTAAATATGCCATAGAGCAGGTACTGACCTGCATTTTTACCCGCAGATTTACATTTATTTATATATGTATATAAGGAGGCATTAAATCGGTCAGACGTGAGACATTTAAAGTGAAGTGACATGTGGCCATGCATTTATAAATGGGCTCTGCATTTATCCCATCCAAAGTGCGCACACACACAGCAGTGAACACACACCCGGAGCAGTGGGCAGCCATTTTTTTGCTGCGGCGCCCGGGGAGCAGTTGGGGGTTTGGGGCACCTCAAGGGCCCCTCAGTTGAAGGTGGGAGAGAGCGCTGTACATTCACTCCCCCCACCTACAATCCCTGCCGGTACGAGACTCGAACCCGCAACCTTTGGGTTACGAGACCGACTCTCTAACCATTAGGCTACAACTTCCCCACTTGTGAACTTCCCCTTTTATAATGTTGCTAAAGATTTCTGTTTCAAATAAATGCTGTTCTTGTGAACTTTCTATTCATCAGAGAATCCTGAAAAAATAAAATGTATCACAGTTTCCACAAATGTAGGAAGCAGCTACTGTTTTCAACATTGCTAATAATCAGAAATGTTTCTTGAGCAGCAAATCAGCATATCAGAATGATTTCTGAAGGATCATGTGACACTGAAGACTGGAGTAATGATGCTGAAAATTCTGCTTTGATCACAGAAATGAACTACATTTTACAGTATATTCACATAGAAAACACCTATATTAAATTTGGATAATATTTCACTGTTTTACTGTACTTTTGATCAAATAAATGCAGCCTTAGTGAGCAGAGGAGGCTTTTCTCAAAAACATTAAACCCCATTAACACTCTTAACCATTGAATGCTAGTGTAGCCTAATAAATAGTTTCATGAATTAAATTAATTTAACTCACTAAAGACGTTATATTGATTGCTACAGTCAGTGTTGTTTCAGTAACTGTTGGCTAAACAGGATGTAAGCAACATTAGCACATCAGATGAATGTTGAAACACTGACCTTCATGTCAAAACACTGAGCAGCAATAAAGACAGTGATTATTTATGAGGCTTTATCTGTTTATTTTAGGATTCTTTTCTAGCGTAATGCTTATTGCATACTGTACAGTAAATACTGAATACTGCCTACAGTTTTAAACAAATACTACACCAAGCAGTATGACCTATGCAATATGGTATCTCAGACAGTTTGTTCTGTTTTATATTGCACATTTTAGCAAATGTTGATGATCGTCTGAGCTCATGCGTACAGTAAATTCACATACTATGCCTAGAATACATACTGTGCTGGGTAGTAACTGATTACTTGTAATCTGTATTACGTAATCAGATTCCAAACATGTACTTGTAATTAGATTATATTACACTTTAAAATGCTTATGATCAGATTAGTTTTTTTTTTTCATTGATTACATAATTACATGTTATTTACACAATGGCAGTAAATTATTCAGAATTTATTGACTCACCCAAATTGTTATTCTTTTTTTCTCCCTTAAAATTAAAAATATAAAAATTTGTACTATTCAAGTGTTTTATTTTAATTAGGGCTGGGCAAAAAATCGAATGCGATTTTCATGCGAATCTCGTCATTCATTGCGATTCATTGCCGATTGATTTTGAACGCGATTTTGTGAAGCTTGTCAGTGATCTACAGCTCTGTGTATTAAATGCCGCTCCATCTGAAAGCACGTGCTGGAGATTTACTACTAATCACAGAACCGGCTTTACTGACGATATGCGCATGAAAATCGCATTCGATTTTTTGCACAGCCCTAATTTTAATTGTTTTTATTTCAAAATTAGTTAATTAGTCCACCAACTCACAAACCACTTGCAGTTCATTCACAAACCCCAGTTTGGGAAACGCTGGAGTCATGTAATGTTTAATACACTTCATGTTGTTGGAATGGAATAGGTTTCTTATGAGTTGGATCAAATGTAATCAAAAAGTAGTCTGAATACATTACCTAATATGTGTAATCCAATAGATTACATTTCAATCTACAATTTCCATCATGTATTTTGTAATCAGTACTGGCCTACAGTTAGTAGTAATTAGTAGTAAAGTAGTAATTAGTACTGGCCTACAGTAGAAGTAATCTCAGCAGCTCTGTGTATTCTGCAGAGATAGTATGCCAGCAGTAGTTCACCTCTCTCTCTCTCTCTCTCTCTGTGTGTTTCTGTCTGTCGGTCAGTATCTGGTTCTGCCGCAGACGTCGGTCGGCAGGTACGCATACGTTCAAGGTTCAGCTCTGAACGACAGCGCCCTCTATCTGTGCCAGCGCTACTACAGGAAGGGCACCATCGACCCAGTTAACGACACGTTTGACATCGACCCTCATGTCGTCACTGGTGGGCAGAAAATCCATTTTTGCATATCACACAAATCAATAACTCTGATTTTAAAACATAGCGAGTCGTCACTCTGTCTGCTGCTTACACTTTTTTAGTTTGACGTTAGCAAGCACATAAATATGCAAGGCACACAAATATTACAGAGAAGAGGGCATTATTAATTATATTGAACTATAATTAGTTGATGTATTTCGTTATTGGGTGTAATAATAGATTTATTTATTAAAGCCAGCTTGAAATCGGATTTGACACCACTTGTTTTCCTGATGCATGTTACTGTTTATATTGGGAGCGATTCATCTCTGCGTTTATCTTTTATTGATTTAGTGTTTTGTAATCTTGCAATCTTTAATTAAAATGCAATATTACATTCAGATCTGTATTACTGCAAAAAATGATTAGTATTTTTGTGTTGTTTTCCAGCACCAACATCTAAATATTATTCTTATATCAAGATACATTTAAGTATTTTCTGAAAAAATAATTGAAATAAAGTGAGTTTATGCTTAAAGCAAGAAAAAGCATCTGTTAGTGGAGTATGAAAAATTAAACTTAATCAAAGTGGAAAATGTCTCTTTTTCCTTTTATTTTTATTATTTAAAATAATAATTATTTTATTTATTATTATTTGTAAAATATTAAGTCTTGTTTTAAAAAAAATAGTTTGTGCTTAAATCAAGAAAAATTATCTTTTTAATTTTTAATAATTCTATAGTATTTAATGATTTTATTTCAAAATAATAATTTGGTTTATTATTATTATTTATAATATTTTTCTTACCAATATATTTTTTATTGTTAAGCATAAACACAGTTTTGATTAGATATTAAGTCTATGTTCTCTGAAAAATGTAAGTCATTTTGCTTCTCAAGTAAATGGCTTTTTAAAAATCTTTTTAGATATTTGTAATGGAAAACAAGACAGAAGTGCCAAGTAAGAAAATATTTTTTACAGTGCTCCATTCCTGTTTACAGTGCTCACTTTTTCAATGCATTCACTAAACGATGGAGAAAATGTTGAACAGTCATTTCATTATGAAATATCCCACAATATATTAGTAAATTTGGTTGCAACTTCCATTTCATGCCAACTTTTTCATTTCTCTAGACTTGTGCACCATCTTGGTTAAATTAAACTGACTTCATTTTAAATGGATTCTGGGATTGTCTTCTCCACAAAGGATGCACATGATGCTGCCTTCTAATTATCTATAATTGCTATAATCAAACCAATCTTATCTGAGAGCGCAGAATAAATATGCTGGAATAGTGTTCAACATTATCAGTGATTCCTGCAGGTGCTTCCTAAGAAGTCGTCTCACTAGGGTTCATAGCAGATGATTTCTGTTCTACAAACTCAAACTGAAGTTCTAAACAGTCTAAATTCTACAGAACCCGTTGCCTGGCAACACAAAGCCGCTGTCCGTTTGAATCATCAGTGATTATAATTGAGGCGTTTTCAATCAGAGTGCTTTTATTCTCTGTTTCTGGTTTTGTTTTTTTTGTGTTGGTTTAGACTGTATCGGAGTGAATCCACCACCAGACCCCTCGAATCCACTGCAAAACCACTACAAGAACATCACCCTCAATTTCCAAAAGTGAGATCCACACACACATGATAATATATAACATGTATAATATAACAAATCTATGAGGACATACTAAACACTTCTATTGTTTATATATGAAATACAATAATCACAGACCAACACAAATAGAACATTATTTACTTATTTATCAGTTGTTTTTCAATTCAAATGTGACCCTGGACCACAAAACCAGTCATAAGGGTACATTTGTTGTGCCTTTTTTGTGCTTTATTTCATCTTATTTTACAGAAGAAGTAAGCTTTCCATTGATGTATGGTTTGTTAGGATAGCACAATATTTGGCCGAGATACAACTTTTTGAAAATCTGGAAATATGGTGAAAATCGCCTTTGAAGTTGTCCAAATGAAGTTCTCAGCAAAGCATATTACTAATCAAAAATGAAGTTTTTATATATTTACGGTAGGAAATTTACAAAATATCTTCATGGAACATGATCTTTACTTAATATCCTAATGATTTTTGGCATAAAAGAAAAATGGATAATTTTGACCAACACAATGTATTGTTGGCTATTGCTACAAATATACCCCAGCGACTTAACACTGCTTTTGTGCTCCAGGGTCACAAATCATCTCCAAAAAATGTGGTTTCGCTCAATTTTGGGGCCAGTTTTTTTTTTCTGAAGTAACTGTAGCTCAGTAGCACACACACACGATCGCTGATCTGTGTAAATGTGCCGTTTTTTGCATAATTGTTGCTCAAGTTCCTCTCTGAGCGTCTTTCTGTCTCTCCTCAGGTTGATTAATGTGACTATCCAGTTTCAGCTGAAGGCGATAAACATCCAGACGATTATCAATAACGAGATTCCCGACTGCTACACCTTCTCCATCACCGTACGCACAGATTTCACAGCACACTAAACTCAATTTACAAAATCAAATAACGTTTCATGAAATTGTATTATATTATCATTCAAAAGTTTGGAGTCTTTACGATGTTTAATGTTTTTTGAAAGAAGTCTCTTCTGCTCACTGAGGCTACATTTATTTGTTCTAAAATCAAGTAAAACTGTGAGATATTATTTTATTTTTAAGGGGTCCTATTATGCTTTTTCACTTTTTCAACTTTAGTTAGTCTGTAATGTTGCTGTTTGAGCATAAAAAAAGATCTGCAAAGTTACAAAGCTCAAAGTCCAATTCAAAAGAAGATATTTTATTTAACAGAAATCACTTTTCAAAAACTACAACGAACGACTTGTTTGGACTACAACGCATATTTTCCGGGATTTGTGATATCACAAATATCGATGAATGGGACGAGACCTGGTTGAGCTGCACTAAAGAAGGCAACGAGTGTTATCACTATGTCGGAGACACGCTAGCTTTCCCAAGGCAGGTGAACTTAGAGTGGTTACAATCATCAGGGTTTAAATCGCACTCAAATTGATTTGATTTTGTGCTGCCAATCTCAACACACACTGGCCCAGCTAACCAATCACAGC